ATAGCCCAAGAGTTGGCAGTGATGACTAGCTGCCTTCCCTCTAGTCTTTTACTGCTAAATTAGTAAATAGCCCTCATGTAGCTTTGCACAAAATGCAAACCTAACCAAACCACTTGGAATCTCTTCTCTAATTTGATATTCCAACAGACAGATTGACATTATGAAGTAATAATATTGCTTTATAAATTGGTGTGGTAACATTTATTGTGAAGAAGTAAAAACTAGTATAGTGTGGTATGCAAAGAAACTTATTCAAAAGTTTTGTTGCGCATGTATTTCAAATCATTGCTTTAGATGTGAATTACTAAACTGATGACACTTGCAACATTTAAATGTTTCTTTGCAAATTGTATAATGAAAATATCAGTCAATTCGGTACACTTTATTTAAATTTTTTATCACCATAACAGAAGTTGTTCATGCAAATGATGATATAAATAGCACCTAACTACCACTGTGTCATATCCCAGGCAGCCCTGGTTTTGGGAGAAAGGCTTCATCAACATCGCACGTAGCAGATATAAAGTGCTTGACATATTATTGTTTACTTTCACACAAAAGTTCTTAGAATTCCTTTTTTCTGATGTAGATAATTTAAAATTTTACTGATATTCTCTTTCACACAAATTAATCTAAATTTATATTATAATCTTTATTATGACTTGGGTAAAATGAGAGTATTTCCACTTGTATGTATTATGACGAATATATTGTTTGAGAGCTAATTCTATCAGCTTTATTTTGCTGTATAACTTTCAAAATGACTTGTGGAAATTATAGTTATATGGTTAAGTTCTCAGAAATTTATGACATAAGTAGCTAAGCATGATGGCAAGAGACTCTCTGATACTCAAGCTTCTTTCTTTAGGAGCTGAAAAAAAAAATGTCAAAATGTTCTTTTTGAATGGGAATGTTACATCACTTTGCATATGTGTTTATGATGAATATTATAAATATATAACTGTAAATCCTTATAATTCAAGATAAGGAAAGCACTTATTGGTCCATAAACTTATTGGTGCTGCTTTTTCTTTTTTGTCAATTTTATAAAGAAACTTTATGTTTGATAACAAGGTAGAATGTGTAAAAACTGTTGAATCATCATAAACATACTTACGAGTTTTAATGACAGGATTTTAATAAGGAAGTAGGATATCTTGTTGTAATAAGCATAAATAAACGATGTGTAATCTAATGTTAAATGAACTGTTACTAAAAACCCAACCTGAAACTATGTCAAGTGTTAACATGTATCTTATACTGAGGTAGTTCTGTGTAGTTGTTGCTTAGAAGGTGGTTGTAATTAGTCTTCAATGAGCAAACTTTCGTCCAAGTTATCTTGCTTGTTTCAGCCAGACTCAACTGGTATCAGTCTTGAAGAGTGAAATTTCTTTATTGTAAATAGGAAAATTTACCTGGTTTAAATTTTTTTTCTGATAGTCTATTTTACAGTTATTTCTATTGTGTAAAATATTCTAATCTACTTATATGTAAAGTGTGCTGTAAATAGTCTGTTAAAGCTGAAAGTAATTAAAAGTTGGAAATACAAGTGGTAAAATGTCTACACGAAGAAGATCAGTGGTTTATAGATGTGTTTCAATTCTTCACTTCTACTCTTGTTCATGTACGTTTATAACAGCAAAAAGTATAACATTCCTAATTGTAAAAAACGAAACTGAGTTTAAAATTCACATACTTATCAAACCAAGTTACTATTGTCCTTCCTATTTCAGTAACAATGTACAGTACATGTTTATAAAATGTTTGGTGATTTTGATGGAAAAGTTGATCTGGTATTAGTTCAATAAAACTAGCATAAAATTAATGAATCATTTTGTTTGTTACTACTATGTACAAGTAAAAGATGTGCATATGTGTTACAGTTTAAATGGCCTAAAGTCAATAAAATATTGGAAAAATAACTGGCCTAAAAATTGTGATAAAAAGAGTTAATTGTAGCTGTTTCTTTTCCACATTCTTCTTAATTTGTCCATTGTGGCTTGAAATCAAAGGTGTTTAAAGGTAATATTTCAGATCTACAATAGACAGGTTGTGGAAAACATGCACGAAGGAGTGATATGCTTTGAACGTGACAGCCTTAAGATAGAAACTGTGCTGCTGAATAGTTTTCAAGATGCACAGTCATTATTTCGAAAATTGTGGACATTTAGTTGTGAGGCTCCAAAACCTTTTTTTTCATGTAGTGTATTTAAGCTTCCATAGTGTAAACAGTAAGAGAAGCTGCTTGCTCCTTTTTAAAAATAATTAAAAATGTTAAACATGAGGACTTTCACAACAGATATTCCATTAAATCCAACATATCAAATACTGTTCAATTTGATAAATACAACATTTTCTTTGTATTTATTGGTTCTTTTTTTTGTTACCTTTAAACCCTACACTGTGACCCCAGTGTTTATTCTCTCTGTGGTTCAATTTTGTAACAAAGTTGCAGTTTTTGTTTTGCTAAGTAATTTTCAAAGCCACTAAAACAGGTTGTTTTTTATATTATAACAGAACTCTTTGTTTACTTAGTAAGACTTAAAAATCACACAACATTTTAGGGCCTGCTGCTCTCAGGTGTATAATTTTGTCATCTTGATGTATATACATTCAGCACTCATTTCATATATCCTTGTATTCAAAACATGTTAGGGATAAATCTTGGGGCTTCTTCAACATTCACTAGTTTGATACTTCTGGGGTCACAGGAAGAGAAATCTTTTGAACAATTGAAAGGATAGTTGATCTTATTTTTTTTCCAAGTTTATCATGGCTAAACAGTGATATTATAACCTTTAAGGACATTATCCTGTTTAAGATATGCAAAAGTCATTTGGTCTACAAAATTTAACCACTAGAAAAGTTGGGAGTTCCCTTGGGATACCTTATATATGTAGGTAAGGCATATATATCAATGCAGGACTATAGGAAAGGATTATTATATGCTGTAGATTCTAAGGCACAACACACACAACATACAAATAGCTATCATGTTCTCTCCTTACTGCATAATGCAGTGAAAGAATTAAGGTTCAAAATCATAATCAGTTGCAACAGGAGCAGAAAAACAAGGTTATGATTTATTAAATTACAAACATGGAACATTTTTCTTAAAAGGTAAATAACAATAGGTAATAATCAGTAACTAATTTGTTTAATTAATAGTAAAAATTACACCCTGAGCTTAAAAAAGAAAGAAACTGAAATCTGCCAATAACAACTGGAAAACTCTCGTGTTTGGATCAGTCGTGTACTGGGAGTTTACACTAGAATTATATACATACTCAGTTTATTTTTAAAATTCCAAATAATTTGTTTAACTGATTACAAACTTGCAAAAAAAAAAGAAACAAGTAAATTAAAAACTATGTATTTAACAACGTTAACTGTATGTCATACAAGATTCATCACTTAGATTAATCAGTAAGTTAATGAAACTACTGTAATTACACTTGCAATTTTACCCTTTTACAGTTTCTAACCTCATTTAAGTAAAAGAAAATACAGAATAATTTGTTTTTTAAACTGGTTTACCTATTTCAAACAGTATTTCCTGTTTAATGTGATTTGTAAAGTTATTTTGGGTAAAGGAAAGTAAATAATACTAATTACTAGTAATATAGTAGTTGATTAACTGAACACTAGAAGTACCGAGTGGATCCATTATGGACCAATTGGCTTTTTAAACATATTACATGGTCTCTAATAAGTCACGTAAAAATGAATTATAATATCATGGATATTTCAATTAATCCTATGTGTATTTCACATAGAAAATAATTAACTTTGTCCAATTCTTTACACTGAGTGCTGTAGTAAGCAATAACTTAAAATCATTCACTATAACATAAGTTGTTCCCCAAAGGTTATGAACAAAATAAAAACAGATTGGTAATTTGAAAGTTAATGTTTCCTACAGCAGTGAAATTCACTTGTTTAATGGTGAGGTTAATGACACCTAGAGCAGTGAAATATACTTGTCAAGTGTTGACTTAATACTTTCAGAAAAAGACACTTGTATAATGCCACACTTAATGTCATCCATAGCAGTGAAATACACTTGCCAGTACTGGCTTAATACTTTCTTTAAAATACACTTGCTTCATGAGGAGCTTAATGTCCTCTAGAGCAGAGACATACATTTTTCCAGTGCGGGCGTAATACTTTCTGTAAAATACACTTGTTCAATGGTAAGTTTAATGTCATATGGAGCAATGATAAATGTATACAGAAGTGCTAGACTTCTTGTACTGTATTCTAGTAAAATAACTGTAAGAGGTTTCACTGTAGTTCTGACTTAACTTTTAGTAATATATGCTACTTCTTAATAGAAAACCTTATATGCAAGAAGATGAATATCACTTGTAAAATATATATATATATATATACACGTGTGTGTGTTTATTTAAATGTAGCATGAATTATCTGCATGTTGTAAGTTCAGTGCTCTGTTTTTAAACATGACTAACAAATAAATGTAGCCAATAACCCCACTTATCACAAACATACTTTTGTTTTTCTAATGCTAATATTTTTCTGTTGATTTTGCATGCTTTAAAACATCAAGAGAGAACAGTTCAAGTTGATAGTGTCTAAAAGACCCAACTGCCCCTTCACTTGTATAACTGGGTTGAACTGTGTACTTTGTTCTAGGTTTGTTAATGAACTGTCATTAACAACATACACTAACTGGAAAAGGAAATTTTTATCATTCATTTTTACTACAATTGAAAACATCCATGTCATCCCAGTAAATTACATTATGCATGGGAATAATACAACAATGCAATTAACTGTACTGAAATTGTATGTCTCAACTGATGAGTCTAAGGTATGTGACAGTTTTTGAATTCACATCAACCTGTTATCAGTAATAATATTGTTGCCACTACACATCAATAATCAGTTGAGGTTGTGATGATGTGAGTGTGCAATTGTGCATCACAAACCAACTAGTTTAGGTTATCAGAATGGACATTAGTGCCTCTAGGTAACACAAAAATACAAGTTTTATTTTTTCTATATGAAAAATTCCTTGCTTCTGACAAGATAAATCCATTTTAATTTCAAAAATAACAAGCTTCTTGAGATTTATTGCAGGAATAGTTTTCTATTAATGTACCTTGTGGCTAATAAACTTTTTTTTTGTATCATTGTACTCAATTTACAAAAAACATCATTTCATTAAGCAAAATACATTACTGTGTTACATAAAATTAATCTTCAAATAATTAAAAGAACTGAAGTTCCTACAATTCGTGGACTATGGTGCACAATTTATATTCTTTCAACCCTTAGAAAATAGAAGAAAAAAAGGAATGTCATATATATAACACAGTTTGATTTGAATTATTTTGAAATAACAATGTGACAAAAATCTCTATACTTCGTGTTAAGAATTAACTGATACAGTCCATTGAAAGTTACATCACAAGTAACTAAAATTTCATTCTAAAATTTAAAAGGCTTGCCTGGTATCAGTTCCTTCAATGTTGCTCACCAAACAACAATCAGCAACTGATAAATAGAATACAACCCCAATTACAAAACCAGTAAGTTGTGTTGATAAGATCAGACAATTTCTTTAGTTTCTATTAGTGGTGACTAATACTTGGACCACTTTTTTATTCATAACACAATAATCTTTAAATTTTTTGCACTATTAAAATGTTGCAAAGCTACTGTTCAGGTCCAAAAATAAAGTACCACATCAGTGTTTATATAGTTGAAAATGAAGTTCATAATACAATAGAAACTACAATATAGTACATTTTAGTTCTAACAAGAATACACTTTAGATATAAAACTTGTGTTTACATACATATACATGGGCACACACAGAAAGGGGCAAGGGGGGGTCATCTGACCCCCTGGATTTTCAAAAAGAAAAAATTACTAGATATGTAAAATTCTACTTCTATGTTATTGGAAAATCATAAGGTATTTGTATTTCAATTTCATAATTTTTTCAAAGTTGAGTTAAATATCCTGAAAACCAAACCAGTGTTATAAATATTGGAATTAGGTAGTGTTTGTTTTGTTACAGCATCTGCTGTGCCTTCCGAGGGGACGAGTTAGGTGGTGTAAAACAAGGATATTTCAACACTCAATTAGAAAATGTAACCTACAAGTGTTTGACAAAGTGATCAAATATTAGAATAAAGGACAATCAAGGAATAAGATGTAAGACTTCAATATTTTAACAGTACTGAACCACTAGAATTAAACTCTTCCTGGCATTATTCAGATGCCGATAATTTAATTGATGATACTGCAAATAATTAATCATTCATAATTCTCCCAATTTCATATACTTACCTGAAAACATTTAGATTGCTGATGAGTGGAGCAATCATATACACAAATATTAAGTTTCAAAAAAAGATATGCTTTCTTTCACAGTGTGAGTTTCTTTGGAAGTATTAAGTCAGACAGCGTGTTAATACTACTTGGCGAGTTAGTTTTTTAAACCAAACTATCAACTTTTCTAGCCCTCACTTTATCATGATGCTTGATAACCTTTGCAATTTTTAAATTAAATTGCAAATTTTATATTAATATTTCTTGTGAAAAAATCCATGCTCAAGAAAACGTGTTAATTAGATTCTGAATGGTCTAAAATTGCAGTAATTCTATACAAAATATCTGAACAAAGAGCATACGTTGTTGTGCGAGACCTAAATATGGTGGAATTTGTTTACAAAAGCTTGAGTTTTAGTGTGTTAATGGAATGGTAAAATACGCAATAAAGTATTCCTCCCTTCTCCAGCTTCTCCCCAGATTATTGTGAATCTCATGACTAGCCATGTGCGATATTAAAAAGTTTGAAATCTGGAAATTGGTGGAAAATTCTTATCTCTACACCCTACACAGATCAAATCCAACTGCCCCACTTTTCCTCCTAGCAGTGATTTTTTCTAAAAATTGTAACTATTGATTAATTTTTAGCTGCACCATACTGGCTCACAGAATGGCTCAGTTTTTTTTGTTTTTTTTATCAAGTACAAAGTTTTAGCTCATACTTCTGTCATCTCTCGACCAATCTGAGATCTAGTTACAGTTTCGGACTCAGTAGGTAAAACCCTTTTGATTGATGTATTTAACTAAGCCCAAGGTCTCATAGATTAATTTACTCTAATCCTGCCTAAATGAATTTCAATTTGAGATTAGGCTGGTATAGATATTGATGAGTAATAAAACCTAATCGGGTATACGAGAGCACAAACTTAGTATTGCTGGTGCACAAAAATATAGCTAGTAAAAAGGAAAAAAAAAGTCTCGTAGATTAATTTACTCTAATCCTGCCTAAAAGAATTTCAAGTACTGGAGATTCTGTCTTGTTGTACAATATACATCATTTTCAATCTTACATCTAGATGGCTACGTATGCAAAAATAAAAAAATCAGAACAATGATAATGTTAAGATATTAGTTTCACAATTTGCATTTCACACACAATTGAAATGACAGCCATTAATAACTGTTTAATTCTTATATTGCATATTGAATTGTTGTGAACATTGAAATAATGGAATAAAACAACCTTATAATTCTACAAAATTTTAGCTTTTATATCCTAGAATGATAAAATAGTTTTTATTTCCTCACATTATTTCAGCAATTAATAATATCTGAGTGTGTGTGTGTGTGGTCAACTATCATAACAGTGTAAACACATGACTTTGGAAAAATGTATCCTATAAATAAGTCAGCAAAAAAAAAAGAAAAACAACAACACAGTTTTATTTTATTTTTTGCTGCAGATTGATGGCAGAAATATTTCATCCTCAGCAGGTGGAACTGAAGATTCCTGACTTGAATAGTTACTTTGATAATACATTTGTCTCTGGTCTTCAGTTACTTTATTTATAATGTGTAAATATACATGGACTAATGATATTATGTATTATATGTAGCTGTACCTATCTACACACACACACACACACATCTATCTATATAAATATATGTACATTGGATTACACTAAAGCCTGTAGGACTTATGAAGAAAACAATCTGTGTTTAGGTGCTTAAACCATTTTTATTATTAATATTTTTTATCTATCTATCTATCTATACATATATATATATATATATGTGTGTGTGTATGAACAGAAACAGACTTTTTAATGGTCTCCTTGATTGTTCTCTACTATATTTGATAGCACTTTCTGAGCAGAGAAAATGTATCCTTTATTCTGAATAATTCCTCGACATTTCACCATCACTGAGTAGCGAACAATCCAACTTGGCTTCCATTTCTGCCTGTCATCTGCAACCACAACATGCCCTATTACTTGGTGGACATGCTCAGGAGGAAGAAGAACTGTTAGAAGGCAAAAAATGTGATCTTTTATTTCTCCTATTTTCTGGAATCAACTAAAAAAAATAATATACTATTCATCATTGAAATAACTTCAAAGGAAAAAATTTCATGAAAAATATTTAAAACCTACTAAATAAAATATATGATTTTTCACTCAAAATACCATTCTTTCACCTTTGAACGTATCTGTCAGCAAAATATATTGTGTATGATATTTTATCTAAAAAATTTGAGATGCATTCTACACAGAAAATAAAAGAACAAAAAAGCATTACAAACATAAAAGTTCTAATAAACCAGCTTAGAATAAGACTTGAAAACAGTGCAATGTATCTACTCTGCCTTAACAATGTTTCAATGTGTCTACCCTGTTTGAACATAGCAATACTTACAAAGAATAAAGAATATTTACATACAGACAAGGTCTGTATGCCACCACCTAAACATTAAACTAATACATAATTTAATAGTGGTTCAGCTGAAAAGAGTTATGTATGTTACTGATATATACTTTCAATGAATAATAATATACTACAGGTAATATCATGTAAGCTGTTTTAGTAACAACTTTTTAACAGATGAAACTCATTCACAAACTTCATTTTCATCTTCTAAATGAACTTATTTTATAATTTTTGCCCAAAATCAATAAAGGCTGTTTGCTCTTTTAATAAAGCATCATGTGATGCTTCTACTAAACATTTTTAATGTTTTACATTTAGTAAAGATCACTTCCCAAAAGATGAACGCACAAATAAAATTCTCACCTTTAGGATCATTATGAGTGAGTAGTTGAATGTCATTTTCTCTGGCAAAGCTAGTCATTTCTGGAGGCATAACACAGCAAGACTCTAGGTTTACCTGGTTAACACTTGGCTTTATCTATTCATTAAAAAAAAATTACATTTGTCTTTTATCTTTCAACCAAATCTTTCTGGTAAAGGAGCATTACAATACAAACAGCATGGTGTACTACTTTCCATGTTCAATATGCATAACAATGCCACAAAAAGCCATTCATATATATATATATATTAGTTTATGTTAGTATTAATGATTTATATTTTGTTTACTTCCCCTGTATTTAACATTTGTAACCGTAAAAGTACAAAACACAGGTTAAAAAGGATTACACATATAACATAACGTAATGTTTTGGGACAACATGGGACCTATTGGTCCATTTCAGCTGTTCCATTCACTAAACTACATTAAAATAATTTTAAAAAATCTTAAAGCCAGGTCTTTTCATTCATATACTTATCAGGCTTTTTCTTAAAATAAATCTTTCCAAAATTATTTAAATGAAACACTGCATCTTTTTTTCTTAGCATTTACAATTAATCAACTAAACCACAGATAAAGGAAACTTAGAAAAAGAAACACAATTAAAAACTGACTAAATATAACTATTATAGATATGTTAGTAACACCTAAGCACAAAAAATGGTAATAAAATGAAAATATAAGAACATCAACTTTTAGAAATGTCTTTTTTTTTAAAAAGCTTAAGATAATGTAAACAAATTACTGTATATAACATCTTATGAACAGTAAAATACTTATCAGATTGTGACACTAAACCTTTGCCCATTCATACAAATCACGAAGTTGATCTGAGTCCAAGTCACTAACACCAATAGTAACCACTCTCTCGTTTCGCACCAAGTCTTCCAGGATTTTCCATACAGGCTGGATGTGAAGAAGTGTCAGCTTCTGTGGTGCAGGTAATGTAGGGAAAGCCAGGATTAAAGAGTCCACTAGTGTTACCCCCAGATTATTCATAACTAAAAAGATAACTTAGCATTACTCCAATATTAGTTAAAATATAACTCATCACTACTCATGTTTTGTTACCACGTGAGTACTTAGCTCATAAAATATAACAGTAAGGTGAACTACTCTACCACTAGTTAAAACACAGATAACATTGTTACTCCACAATTATTTATTGTAAACAAAAGCTATACTTAATATTTTGCAAACCTAATATTCTATTTAGAATGAAGCATATTTAGTTATTTGTCATTAGAGATGCAGATAATGTAATGTTACTCCAAAATTATTTATGATTAAGAAAATAAGCCATATTCAAGGTTTTGCATACTTAATATCTGATTTAGAATAAAGTGTCTATTTATATCTTCTACACTATATTTTTGAGCAATCCAATTCAATATGAATATTAACCATATGTGTCGATCTAAACATCTATTAATTGGTATTATGCCTACAAGCTACATATCAATATAACTTGAAGAATTAAATATATAAATTTGTCATGATCAAAACAGCACCATGATCAGACAAATAACTCGGTGTTACACAATATAGCATTAGGAAGTGTCTTCTATTTTAGTCGCAACTCATTTACATGTATGCGTATACAGAAAAAGCAGCATCTTTGAATTTTTTTTATACAGAAGATGCTGCTGAATAAAATGTTAGATAAATAACATGTTTCATTACAAAATATGTCCAGCTCATTTCAATGTGCACTGTAAAGCCTAAAAGCAGTAAACTGTATTGAAATACCATATTCACTCAAAAACAATTTCTATAGGTCAAAATTATTTTATCAGAAATCCATATAAAACAAACAAGAATACCTTTTTTCAGGGCCTCCATTATCAGGACAGGGTCAAACTCATACACAAAAATTTTCACTGTAATGCATTTGAAATATTAATAAAACATTTTGTATTAAAAAATAAAGTCAATAATTGTCAAAAAGAGACATTTTACACAGTTTTCACAGTAACAAACTTATTAATGTTATTTCATGTATTAAAATAAAATTTAGATGATACATAAATTGTTATGTACAGGCCTTTTTTTAAATCTATCTACTCCAAAAATTATTAATTGCAAAACTCTCACAGCAATTATACATATTTTCTTTTAATAATAAATTTTCTATTACCTTTACTTAAATTTTTTGTCACAAAATTAATACAAAGCATGTTAAAAATAAATGGATCATAAGGTGAGAAACCAATCAAAGGATTGCCATCTCTAAAATCTCTACATCAAAGGTGAGTTGAGTACTAGTGTATCTATAAACAGTCCTCAAATTCCAATATAATAACTGATCCACAAAAATAACCATACATTTGACTAGACATATATGAAGACTAACCAGCAATACAAAACATGATCAGTCAGACTTCTAATGAAGTAAACTATACAAAAATATATATAATTTGATGTTAAAAGTATATACATACCTAACTTGCCTCTAAATAAACATTGATGATGCTTATAATGTATGTTATGATTCAAAGCTTTATATTATCTGACTTTTAAGTCCTTTACTTCAAAAGAAATCTTTAAGAAACTACTTAAAACTTCAGATGTATTGTAATATGACCAACAAGCTATGAAAATTCTCTACTTTAGCACTCTGTATTTTCAATAATACAATGATAGTTGCATAGATGTATGTCTAGACTCTAAGATGCTTACATAACCTTTTGACTCATACATTTCAAAGATCTCTGAATAAATAAATTTAAACAAGTAATAAATTTTTTCAACCCCTGACACCCATCTTCAACAGATTAGTTTGAGCTTTATAACCTACATGTAGATGTTACATACACATGTGTAAAGCATTAGAAAGACCTCATTTTAAACTACAACCTAACATTGGTTATTTTGAAACTGGCACTCAGTTGTCATCACAGAGTACATGCAACTGTCTGTAGTATTGTTGGCTGCTTGATCGACTATAACACTTATGGTTGTTTCTTACTTAAATATGTTATAGTTAGATACAGTTTAAATTATATTTAGCTTTTCCTTTTATATTTTAGTTAATTATGTATTAGTTATGTTTTAAAATGCACAACTGAAAGGTTTAAACATATTTTAAATATACATCATACATTGCAACAGTTCTCAAGGCTGCTAATATCATGCGATGCACAAGAATTTTGCCAAAGGGTTGCACATGCCTGATAGAGATGCTGTAATATAACTCAAGTGCACCATTGACTTGTATTGAGATCAATAATATGTGGTAAAGGAAAAGATCTGAAATTACATTTTAACAAAAGGAAAATCTTTAAAGATATTCTACAAAAAATTAAAAGGTATGCATTTTTTTTTCTCTTCTGTTTCCTAATTTTAATAATTTCTTTGCATTGTACATTGATGATAATAGCTAGAGTTAGTGATATGGTAAAGAAAATGAAAAATAAAATATAAACATTTACCATAAAAAAACTTTTGATATTCTTTTACGAGAGGTTCTACAGATTATTCAAATGAAATATGAAACTATAAGATGAAGAAAAGTATTTTTTATATTTAAAATAAAAGTCACCTTGCCCTCGGTTTGTTAGGAGTTTGAGTTCAAGTAACTACAATAAATAACATTTTAATAAAAACACTTAATTATAATAATGTCATTCTTTGTATATATATACGATACTTATGATCTTTAACAAAATCTTACCAGTGTTTGAGAGAATAGGTTAAGAAAAATCAGAGTTACTGTGTGTATTGTAGTACTACAAGTGAAATTCACTACTCGATTTCCACAAATTATGCGAGCCTGATGTGAAAAGGTTAATGTAAGCGGGTCAACAAAGAAATATGGAAATTCAAAAGAACACAGAATAAAATCAAAATACAAAAAATTACTCTAACAAAAACAGAAATAACAATATCTATGAAACAGTTGTCTACTACTCTACAATAGTAAGTCACAATAATGTGGTAATGTTACAAAAGAACCAATCATTAAAAACTTCATTATTCATTTGTCTTTCAAGTATCTTATTGTTTCCTATATCAAGGTCATTTTACACTGAAACATTGCACTTTTTAAATTGCAAGAACCATTTTATTAACAAATGTTTAAATTATCCAAGCAGTACTTCATAATGTTTACTGGAAATGTATCATTTTGATTAAGTTTGTCTTTAGAATGGCCAATTGAATTTGATGTGTATTAGTTCAATATGTACTTTATTCTCAAATAATTTGTAAAAAAAAAAGACTAATAATAAGTTTAATCTGATGAAAGTAGCACTTTAGAAGAGTGTATGGACATGTGAATGCATAAAAAAAAAACACATATGTTGGAATTTCTGTTCCTGGTCCCCTCATGATCTCGGGGTGCCATGCTTGACAATCTGTTCATAGCTCCATTCACAAGCTAGTGGAAGCAAACACTGCATGTGTGCTCAAGTGCCATGGGTGAGCATCTAATGGGGTTTGCTTTTGGGTATACTCTTGGTGTAGCTATAGAAGTAATTGGGAATAATGGAGTGCAGGTATTTTATGCTAGTATACATGAAAACAGTAATGCCAACCTTCTCAGCGAGTAAGTGCTACCCAGATCACTGGTTGTCTCAATGAAAGTAAGGATAACACAGCTTCCAAATACTTCTAAATTGAGACATGATGATGTCATCAAAAATAACAGATAAAAGATCAAAACTATGTCTATAACTATCTCTTAATAATATGCAACTAGTACACATGCCTTTACCATGTTAACCAGTGCAAAAAATAAGACCAGTGCTATAAAAGTACTTTAGAAGTGTGTATATCTGAACCATTTGTAAACAGTTTACATTTCTAAGCTAAGAAAGAAACATATAAGATATGGTACTTTTCTAAGTACCACAGTGTCACTAAAAAGTTGTTTTAAATTCAATAAAATAAAATTACAAACCAGTTAACTTGAGAGTACACCTGTCTTCTTTACCAATACGTACAATCTGGCTTTCATCAGGGCATTCCAGGATTCTTTTATTCTTTTCAAATATAAAACACAGAAAAATAAGTATCATGACATAGTTAATGTATCAGTCCATACATGTACTATGTCACAGGTAACTTTCAGAGTAAATATACACTTTCAGAGATATTTGGATAAACCAGACCTCATGAAATACATTATTGTGAGGCTAATATTCTACCAGTAAAGAAATACAGCTTTACAAGTTGAACATAAATTTGATAAGTCAGATGCATTATAAAACCCTTATTTTGACTTCCCATTATATACTGATACTAACATAAGGTGGATATGTCTTGTCATACAGTATATTAATGTATACCTCTCTCCTCCAATCCATTTATATTTAACTCAAATAATTTCTCTCCTTGAATTTACCAACTCAACTTACGTATTCGCAATAATATTGTATAAGTTTAATGAGTCTCAGTTCTATTATTAATTACCAAACTATATATACAGTATTTTTACAAGCCTGAAAATTGCAAAGAAATAATATATATATATATATTACCTAGTTAATTTGTATTTAGACTTATTTTACAGCATAAAATTCTTGCGGGAGTTTTCCTACACTGAAAATGTATTTCTGACACATATTTACTTCTGATCACATACATAGCTATTCTCGTTCAGTGCTGCTCTCTATTTGCAAATTCTTTTCACATACCACAAGCCTTTCACTCCTATGCACCCTTCAATTCACATGGTTTAACTGATTCTCACATACAAATTATCATGTGACAAACCTCCACTAATAGTAGTGCCACACACACCTACGTGACTCCCTCTATGCTATTCTATTCTACCTAACTATCACTTTGAGTTTAAGAAAAAATGTAAGCACTGGTTGACAGTGGTAAGGAAGGGTGGGAAGCATGAGCAGAAGTAAATACCTGTTGGAAATACATTTCAAGTGTAGGAAAATTATAACTTCTATCAAGGTACCTTACTTTCGCTCACATACATAGCTAGAATCCCACATTGAATACGTGGAGGGACTGGTGCAAAGGAGAAAGTAGGATTATACGTGGGAAACTGCACTTCTATACCAGGTATACTCTCTGCCCAGATGCAGAAAAGATGTGACAGATCCCAACAGAAAATTGTGAGGAGCACATTCCAATGTGAGAGAAAACTTGGAAAGTGATCCTAATGAGGGTAAAATAAGAGATGTGCCTATAGGTGTAGAGTAACTAGAGTGTGACGGACCACACATAGCAAGTTAACTGCATCCAAAACTCAACCTCTTGAAACTGACAACCAAGCAAGGGTAAGATGAGGATCATACCATTAGTAAGTCAACTACAATCCCAAACTCAACCACTGGGAACCAACAACTATGCAGAGGTAGGAAAAATGATTATACCATTTTCACCTCAAGTTCAGCCGACTGGAAGGAAAAATCTCGCCACTGATCTAGGAACAGGGCACATGTGAGCAGAGTGAAATAAGATACATATATATACCACTCACATCATATACACCAGAACTATCCACCTCAAATGCAGTAACATCCTTGGCATAAAGACATCAAGGGGTAGCTCAAGAGGAAGAAGCAAAGCAACCAACAAGTGCACCCACTATGACCCACATCACTGGGGTAGTGCACTAGAAGGAAACTGAGTGAGGGACCATGGACACCCTGAACACATGTGTGAGGACTTGTGTTGATTAGTTCAGCTCTGAATTCAAAACTCAACTGCCGGGAACCGAAATCCATGCGGAGGTAGGATGAGGAATCTTAGTCATTATGATGGTGCACTGGAAAGCTACAACATCCCTTCAGACAAACCCATGCAGAGATGGAGCTTCCATTTGGAAGACATCTCATCAACTACACCAGCAGAACACCACTGCCACACTCTCAACTGAATGGACTCTACTGTTTGTATTGTATATCTCTCATTTGGGAGGATACCTCCATGGTCCACCATCCAAGCAGCTTGGAACTGGAAAGTGATGAGGGCTCACTTACTCCACTGGACGAAGGGGGGGATCATGTTGGAGAGTCTGGAGGAACATTTACACTGGAGATAGTTCAATGGGTGAACACAAAACTCTATTTTGAAAAGCAGACCAAACCCAATTTATTCAATCTGAGGAATGGCAGGGATGAAGACCATGGGTTAGTATAATCCAGAATGGGTATATTTATGAAGCAAAGATGTTGCAAGGAATAACCTATGAGTGATCTTGTGGAACACCCCATGTCTAGTTTATGTGATTGTAATGAACAGTGTGCATTTTGTGGCCATGGAAATTATGAAAGTGAGGTCTACACTGCCTTACAGTGTGGGTTTTAGTACAATTCTATGTGACTGAAGTATAACCGGATAGGCACCACTTGCCACAGAGTTGGATCCTGCTCAAAACATGGGAGGCCCGTGAAAAATAATACATATAACGAAAGAGTACTTACCCAGTTACAGTCTCATGGAAGAGAAAAGGATGGCAACAGGTGGAAGACAGTACCATGAGGAGGAAGAAACAGCTATCCAAAGCAGATAATGGGAGATGAACGTATGAGGTGTAGTCCCAGTGCTCAACAGACGACAGGGTTGAGATGCAAGTAAAAGTTAAGGTGCCTGAACAAAGTGAAGACACCAGGAATTGATTACAGGAAGAAGGAGACAAGGAATAAAAGGCCAATTGTATCATATGCTGAATCCAATGGTAAGGGAGGAAGGGAAAATGAAAAAAAATCACAGAGTAGTGGTGCAAGGGAGAGAAACCACATGAAATGGAATTAACAGAAAGAAGCCTTGAAAGCAATGAAGCAATCCAAATCTTGTATGGGCCAGAGAAAGTCATCCGGATCTGACCGAGAATAAAGGTGGAAGATGGCAAGAATATTCCACATAAGCCCCCAAAGTGTAGGCTAGTAAAATCGATCCAGAACAAATAGAATATATTGAGTCAAAACAGCCAAGAAAACCAGATCTGTGCTGGCCAGAAAGGATCAAAATCACCTTAGGAAGAAGACTGATGAAATGAGAAAAACTGGTTATAAACTGGACCTAATTATGTTTGAACATACTGACAGCCAGGGCAAGTTGATGATGAACCAGAGACCAAAGAACAAAAAACAGTAACATAGAATCGAGAAAGGAGTCAAATGCTTCCTGTGGAGAGTATTCTACAGGAAGCAGAGTCACCAAAAATTTGAGGATCAAGAGGCCACTTCATGGGAGAAAGTGTTTCAGGACTGGAAATGTGATCTGTAATGAAGATAAAAGCACCTGAAACACGTATGTCAAGTGTGTGGGTTCAAAAAGGAAGATCCACTGTCTACCACAAAGGAAACAAGAATGAGTGCCCCCTTGGCGAGTGATATAATCCACCACTATCGAATGGTCGGAATGAAACATGATTAATTAAATCTGAACAAGAGGAAGAAAGTGAACCAAAGCATGTTGGACTGCCAGAAGTGCCAGGGTGTTAATATGGCAAGACCTTTGGTCTGTGGGGCATTGTCCTGAAGCCTCCTGTTGATCAACACACACCATCCAACTTTGCATATGAACATCAGGGAAAAGAAACAAATCTGGTCAAGGAGAAGGAATCGGTACACCCAATGACATGTTCAACTACCTTTGCATATAATCGAAGAGGGAAAGAGGAAAGTTAAGAGGAGAATCCAAAGGAATTCTAGTAAGAGGCCATAGATCCTGCATTGTTTCCTGATAAGACTGCAAATGTGCCAGACCCAAAAGAAAAAGTGCTTCCATAGAAGTCACATATCCCAATGTGTTAGAACCTCACTAGCAGTAAGATAGTGAACTGTAATGGAGTGAATAACATAAAACTCCATCAAATGCATTTGAGGAGGAGAATGGATGGTCCTGAGAGAGGTGGGCGTTGAAAATGACACTCCCCAAGTAGCCGAGATTGTTCAGTAAGTAACTGGAAAACTTTTCCAAGTGAAAAACCCAACCACCTGAGCTGCTTGTAAAAGAAGCAGATGAGTATGTTATGAACACCCCCATTCGGAATGAGCTAACTAAAGCCAGACATCCAAGTAGTGAGATTGGTAAAATCCCCCAAAGTTGGGTAAAATGTAGGCCACCTGACAAAAGACATACAGAACCGAAACAAGTCCAAAGGGCGAGACATGAAACTGGTACCAAATCATTGGTGAAAAAACTTAAGATAGCATCCCAAGAAATGAAAAATAAGAACGTGTACCATGGGCATTATCAGTCCTGCAGAAATTTCCCACTTGATTGGGAACAAAGCCCACATATTAAAAATGGGAAAGAGCCAAGAACAATTGAACCAGAACTCCAATCAGCATCAAGCATACAGGACAAATGCAGAAACCCATAGATAGGACAGATAAAGGATGAGAAGGTGACGGACGTGGAACATGAATAAATATGACTCAGAATTAAACAAAAGAGCAACCAAAAAAATAGAATACAACATCGCAGATATTCCATGTGATGCTAAATGCACAGGAATAGCTGCAGAAAATGGACCAGTGGAGAAAAAGAGCTGACCATAAGTCCCTTTAGAAGTGGATGGTAAACAAACAGCACAAGACAGTGTCCCACCCCAGAAGATCCCAAAAGCAAAGAAGCCATGTGTAGAGGGAAAGAACTGAAGGTGGAAAACATCCCAACATAGAGGGAAGGAGGAAGAGGTATCCCACGAAAATCCCCTAGATACACTTTAATGCCTACGAAAGGAGGTGTTAGGTAGACATTTCCTATAGGAGAGTTCATAGGGTAAGTTGAAGCTGGGAAACTAGATGGGGGATAAAATGGATTGGGTTAACAGAGACTGCCTCCCATACAGGCAACAGAGATTCTAAGTACATAGAATTAAGAAGAAAATCTGCCTGATGGTAAGCTGAGGTAAACTGAATCAAAGCTTGTGGAGAGTGAGGCATGCAAGTATCCCCTCCCAAAAGAGACAAAAATGTTCATCATGAAACATAATGTCTGGAGAAGGAGGGGAAAAGTATACTGTGAAATGCATCTCAAAAGGCTCAGGTAGGTTAAGCATATTCTGCGGTAGAGGCCTGGGAAGGCAAGTCATAATCAGTTGGAGGGAAAGCTGACAAAATCTAGGTCACCCTTAATGGGTTTGGCATTTGTAGAAGGAAGGCGAACGATATCGGGAGAAAGTAGGGCCCCCAGGAGTCCTCACAAACTAAATTAATTGTAAGAAGTACAAATTATTAAGAATTACAAAAATGAAATAGTTGATATAATGTAACTTTAAGTAAGACTGTACTGAAATAAACATATGTATAAAACGTTATGTGTTGAATAAAAGAAGATATTTAACCTATTATCGATTTAACTGTAAGATGAATTTCAGGAAAACCAGAAATAAAAAACAATTGTTAAGCCTAATCAAACTGTGCAGGACAAATTATATCACTTAGCTCTAATTAAAAAACCCTAACCTAACAATACTACATACAATATCAGGAGAAGTTTATGCAGACTCTGTGATGTTTTGAAGAAAAAACAATATTAGTAACCTAATTTATGATATACTAGTAAGATGAATTAAAGGTAATCCTAAAATAACAAAAACCCATATTAAGTCTAATCTAATGTTATAGGATACAACTAAGCTCTAATTTCAAACCTGAACATAACATATGAGTATTGACAAATCTATTTAAACTTATGTTATTGAACCCAAATAACTACAGATAATAATATTAACAGTAAAAATATTCAAAAACCATAACAATATAATGCCTTATCTTTCCAAAGTCAGCAGATTATATTTCAAAATGAGTGGGCCACCAAACTCGAGTCGAAGCCTAATGAAATTTATCTCATTGGATGATCAAAGCCAATAATTCCCTAGATGAGGACCACCACCTGAAGTCTGTGTAAGTATGCTGATAGAAGATATAATCTCCAAAGTGGTAATTTAGAATCAGAATTCATATTCAAAATGATTTGTAATGAAATATCAAGTTCTATAACTGGATAGAAATATGAAATAATTCCACTTTGGAATAAGTTACAAATATCAGTATTGTATAATAAATGGTAAACTTGGTGAGAGAAATTGATACGTATAAGAAAAAAAAAACATTCGAAGAGAGCACAAACTAGATGTCTGAACAAAAACACTGCCAAGCGAGAAGTGACAGTTAGGTAGAATAGCACGGAGGGAGTCACATGGGGGTGTGCCACAACTATTGGTAGAGATTTGTCACATGATAATTTGCAAGCAAAAATCAGTTAAATCATCTGAATTGAAGGGAGCATGGGAGTAAAAGGCTTGTGGTATGTGAAAAAAAGTTGCAAATAGAGAGCAGCACTGAATGAGAATAGCTATGTATGTAAGTGGAATTAAGGTAACTTGTCAGAAACTATGCTATTCAAAATACTTTCTGATCCAAAACAAGACAACACTGAGTGAGAATCACTTGTTGGAACCAAATTATAAATAGTTGAAAAATGGGAAAATTTGTAGTTTTATAGATTACTAGACTATGGCATTTCTTTTGCTGGTTGCATGGGGGTAGCAGGATGTGTATGTTAATCATCATGCAAGTCAAATAAATAAGAGGTATCAGCAAAGAAAGCCATGCTATGTACAACATTAAATATCACTTTCCTTTGGCATTAGCTTCATGTAGTAAAAATTTCAATTAACAATTTCAATTGGTTTGGCTAGTTCCTCATAACAACTTGTGATGTTGAGACACCAAACAGATGGTCAAATCTGCTTTATATAGATATATATTTCATTTGTGCAAAAAACCATACTATACTTTTAGTAACAAAAACATCTATATTAAAATGTACAATTCATTAGCTTGTTATAAATATAAACCTTCCCTTTAGAAAACAAAATATTATACTTTTTTCCTTCTTTATCAATAATTTCTGCATTGTTTACTAAGAAGTTTATCTGACATACAACACACATTCCTTTTTGTATTAGTTTTGATATTTGTTAGTTTCCAAGTTTCAAATTAATTTATTTTATGACAAGCCTATTCAAGGTTCATTTTAACATATTGCAGAACTTGGTATTGTAAATATTCTCTTTTTCATTCTATGTAATTCTTATGGTTACAACTGACAGCCACATATAAATATATGTTAATTGTTATTCACTAATAAGAGAGAATTACAACTACAATCATGACTAACATATTGTTACATATCTGCTTGTTTGTTTGTTTCCGGAAGAAATTCTTTCTGAGGATCTTCAGCGATACAAGTCCTTTCTTGATTAAACCAGTTTATTCTTCCTCGATACAAACTTTTAGTACACAGAAGCTCCACAATTAGTAGGTTTCTCGTCACTTTAAACTTAACAACTTTTATAATACATGCTATAAATCACAGAGATTCAGAATATCAATAACTTTGTTCTCGAAGAGTGCAAAATACACACTTTATGGCTCACTAGCTCGAAACTAACAGAATCATAAATTACACGGAACTCAAAGCGACTACTGCTTTCTTTTCATTCATTCATATCCCCGCTGGTTTTCTCTGCCAGGCTTATATACTAACGAAGAAAGCATCTTGAACACACTCAGACTTCCCTGATCATTCGAGAAACTCATCACGCACATCACGTGACTTCCGCTGTCATAACAATATTTTGTACTACCGTTTATCTTCTTTTAATTGAATCTTCAAAACCTTATGTGCATATACATTTGTACATTCATACATTTATCAAATTAAAGGTTTTATTTTAATAAACATTTTTCAATTGAAGACACCTTCAAATAAGTAGAGTATATTTAACTGTGTTTACTGGTTTTTCATTTAATTTCTTATTATATAAATAAATATTTTAATCCAAATAAAGCTATATTAAAACTTTTTTTTAACCATATCATGATCATATATTTGATTTTCCTAGGAACTGGAGAAAATTAAAAATTAGATGAAATATAAGAAATTTAAAATATTTGATTTGTTGTACATTTTATTGAAGAAAGGCCTTAAATATGATATATCACTGGATTCTGTGTAAAAAAGGCCTAATTAAAGTATATGCATACAGATCCTGGGAATAGAAATAGCAAAAAATTGAAGAATACCAAGTATGCTTTCTATGATAAGCAGGGAGTTGATGAAAAAAAAAGATAAAGAAACAGAGATAAATTTTGTCTCTTGCTCTCATATACTCACTCAACTGAAATAAAGTGTGAATTCACCAAAGCTCATCTCAATAACATTTTTGAAAAACTTCTACTTGGAGAACTCTCTAAATCTCACATGAATTACTTATGGTGACAAGACTTTTACTTGGATTACTTTCTAAAGCTTACCTGAACTATTTCTGGTGACAAGACTTCTATATGTTTCTTAAGAATGTTGCTTACGCTTTCAATTAACTGGAAGAGACCATGAAAACCAAAGTGTTACATAAAGACAACTTAGGAAATAAAATATCTACAGCATGCTGCAGTCTAATAGTATGTTTAGATCTCTTGTTATTTACAAATTAGTAAACAAATATTACCTTCTAAAACCAATTTATTACATACTTATTACCAACTGCACAATTCTAGTCAATTAAAGTAAATTCCAATAAAATAAAGGCTTACTCTAGGAATAACGGAAGCTTATAACATCATACAAAAGTGTACTTCTAATTGTGTCACTGTGGTAAAACAAAACATGAATGGAGAGCATTTTATGAAATGTTCTTGAAAAAAGGTATAAAACTCTAGATAAAGATCTCTTGAACTATTGTGTCCTCTTATTATCTTCTTACTACACAATGGAAATTGATTTACTGTACAGATTACAGAAGAAGATACTAGTATGATTTATGGTTTGAAAGATACAAGTTATCACCATGTAAACACTTTTAACTTGTTCTTCTTGGATTGTACAAAAATTCAAAGGATTTGATTGAGGTTTTCAGTAATATTAGAGTACAAGGCTTGTCTCAGAAGAAAGTGTAATTTCTGGAAAGATTGAAAAAATTACTTTTGCACTAAGCTTACTGATGTTTTTTGACATGTTTTTTTTTTCTAAAAAGATTGGCTCAGGAGTTCTTATTGAGAGTTTTAAGTTCATATAACATTTGAAATCCACACAGCATTTTCATAAAAAAACTGTGAAGGCAATAAGATTAGAGGAAATAAGTTTAAGGTATGAAAAACTTAAGACAACTCCAGTTAAGGCAGTTTAACTCAATCTAATAGAGTGGTAGCCTAATGAAATCATTTGTTTTTAGGTATTACTTGATCCTACAACAGAAGTTTAAGAGGAGATATGAAAAGTACATTAGATATAAGAATGGTATAAAAAATATAAGACTGATTCTTTCAGATAATTAAGCAAAGCCACACAAGGACTACTCTGCACTAGCCATCAATAATGTTGAGCTTATAGACTAGAAAAGACAGCCAGTCAACAACATCTACTTTTAAATGGGATAGAAAAATGCATCATTTTTAAAACAATGTTTCACCACTGTTAACATTGTTTTTAAATGATAATTTTTTTCTATTCCATTTTAGTTGTGTTTGAATTTTAAATATTTTAGAGTGTGGGATACCTCCAACATTTATATTAACATCCACTGTTACTCTTACACTACTATAATTGAATAGTGGGATTTGACAATTACTCTTATAATGCCCCCAAAATCTTAAAGTACAGATCAAAATTTTTTTTCTGATAATGATATGTGAACCATTAACTCTTGGATTCACAGTTCAGCATCCAACTGTGGATACAGGAAAAAGGGTTATTACCTATAATTTGGTGGTAGTAGATAATCAAACAGTCTATATGGGCCAAATAGCACCTTGTTATCCCTTGGGAATGAAATAAAATCTAGTCCAGTAACTGTTACATAAAATAACAAATGAGAGGGATTTAACTTGGGCATTTAAATTACCATATTTAATATTTACTTATACTTGTAAATTGGTCTTTGATGTGCAATTCAACAAAATACATCTGCACTGATGACAGCCATTATTCTAAAAGAAGAATGTGGCAATTAAACATAAAACACACTTAAAACTTTGTAATATTTTATACTGTGAAATATAATCATGATAAATTTGTTTCTAAGTGTTACATACCTGTCAAATACTACAAGTTGGCTGTAGTGACTACTTTTTTATTAGTTTAGAGAGCCTACTTCTGTATTATTGTTTATTCTATGGATTTAATTTCATGCCTGAGTTTTGAATTTTTTCCTTTTTTTTTGTTTAGATAAAGTATTGTTATATCATTATCATAAGTTGTGATCCTTTTTAGTTACTTCCAGTGATACACTACTGCATCAATGCACATGAATGATTGTATTAATGGGAAAAAAGTTTTGTGATGATTACAAAGTCCAGTCTGGGAGAAAGCAAAGCTAAATGCACAGTATGCAACCATGAGAGCTTTATAAGTTAGCAATTATACATGTAAAATATGGTCCATTATACAATCCTATGGGTAAGTTAAGAAAATTACGGGTTTTCATGGTAATAATTGAAGGAAGACACCAAAATGGGTTGACATGTATCGTATTAAAGTGGATTATCTAGTGTGATTCATGCCAAAATGTAAATCTAAGCATTCATCATCTAAGTTGATAACTTTTTTGACCAGAATATGTGGCATGTAAAAAGTTGCTTTTATTAAGACCATTTGATAAGATTAAAATTTAAGTATGCAGAAGTCTTGTGTTAAAGATATTCTTATTTTATTTAGAAACTTAATTCAACTATTAAAGGTATGATATACAGTGTATATCTTGATACCTCAAGGGGAAAGAGAAGCATTTATTGCAGTTAGGCTTTATTAGCCTTATATCTTTTTATTTTAAAATTACGATGGTTATCTGCCAATTTTTTAGTATATTATACTGTGCATACAAACTTTACAGAAAATCCAGATGACTAACAGAATAACAAATATAGAAATGCTACCTTTTAATACAATCACTTTCTCAAAAGTAAATTTTTTTAGACCTTTCTAAATATATATTACAAAACCCATTCTAATCTAAGGTAAAACAGATATTGTCTCATGCAAAAATAAATAAAATCAAAGTTTAAATTTAACAATTGTCATTACTATTTTAAAACAATGTTTCTTTTCCTTTTCTTGGTTCAAGATTATTATATCTGAAAATAAAGTGATTATGATACTATAATATTACTTGTGGTCAGTATAGTTTTAATATCTAAAAATAAATTTTGATGATAATTTTTTGAAAATACATTTTACAGTCATATATTAACTTGCACATAGTTTTCATGTGGTTTTGTAAGAAATAATTATAGAAAGTCATGGATTAGTCAGGGGTATTATTCATGTGGAGAAGCCTTATTTCTTTTTCTGCAAATATGGAAATGTTATAAATAAGATACTCAACTTTAGTGTTGGTTTATGCATGAAAATAAAATGACTTTCCCTAACAAGTTTTTTATTGTACCATCTTCAATTTAAAAATTTAGACTTAATAGTTATAACAACGATTATAGTATATGTGGACTATTCAGGTTTTCATCTATACGATGGTTTCTGGGGGAAATTAGAGGAATGAAAACAAACAAAATAAACGTCTGTAACTTGGACTGATATATGTGCATGGTTAGGAAAAGCTCCTGATGTAATTAATTAACTGCTGAACTAAAACAAAAAGCAAAACTGACAATGACTTGCAGATTTCTTATCATCCGTCTCCATTACTATTAGTATTACTAACAGTAACGCTAGGGTAGAACTAGTGGTACTCTACTGCTACTAGTACCAAATAATACTATGCTAATGCCAGTAGTGGTAATACTAATAATACTATTAATAACTATTATTTAATTAGTTTTTAAAATTAATAGTTATTACTGCTTCAAAGATTTTCATAATTTACAGTTCAGTTGCTTAGTTACTTTAGTTTATAATCACTAATGACCGTTATGTAACTTAAACTTTACTGTTTTCATTCTTCATTTTTACAAATTAAACTAAACTTTTTGCTTTCTTATATTTAATATAAGGCTTTCTTTTTTTTTGCTAACCTCATCTCTCGGTGTCTGAGAAGCCTTTCGTCTTAATTCTTTACAAGCTATTAAATTTCCAGTATCTACAATTATCTTTTCAATGTTATCCGGTATTTTCATGTTATTTGTCGTCATCATATCATTTAAGTAGTAAGGCTAAACAACCCGATCGTTTCTCTCTCACTTCCTCATATATTACTAGAACTTAAAAGCTGGATCGCTTTAGTTTTGATATTTGATAAGCGCCCTCTACTAGTAAAGTACATGTGTGCATCTTATTCGATTGTTAAATAATGAACTACTATTTTCCCTATATTGTAACGTAAAATAATCTACTATTACTTGGTTGAAATAAAAATGAATAATTAAAATGTCAGCTTTCCAATTGATATTATATGCTGATTATCCCAAAGAAGTTTTTCGATATTTTTATGACCCTGAAATAATTCATCAGGAGGAAACTGGTACATAATAATACAACAATCAACAAGTACGCCAGTGGCGTAGCAAGAGGGGACAGTTGCCCCCGGGCGCAAGTGTGAAGGGCGCAAAATTTCCTCTGGCCTATAATGCATATTAATTAATAATTATGCTATCCCCTAGGATATAGCGCAACTGGCCTACATTAAGTAAATACGACACAGTGTTACGTTATTTGTGTCTATTACGCTTTCAGTTTTAGCTTTTAAAAGCCGCCCACTGAAATACAGTGATACCAAATTCACGTGCAGAAGTAAATTACGCTATTCCATCATTCATCTGTAGATCAAATACAAGTCCTAGAGTACAACGTACAAGTAAGTGTATGTTCAACAAAAAGAAAATACGATATTGATGTAACATATTAACTGGTGTGCAAGATTGGCAATATATGCAACAGACAGGGCCTAGATCTAATAAACATTATAGGCCTAAT